GAAAGCTCTAGAAGAATCTAGTATAGAGAGGAGTAAATCACTGTTTATCAGAGCAGGCCGTCGTTAAACCGCAGTATAAAATGTGAGGCAGGAAATTGAATCAATTTGTTTGAATATTTCCATCAAGTTTTCTATACATGGATAAGAATTCCATGTCGTTTAAATATACTATAATAATTCATATTTTTCAACAGTCTCTGTCTGTTTGTCTTTCAGTCTCCCTGCTGTCTTTATACCAATTTGTGCGTACTCTCTCTCTGTTTCTTTGTCTCTCTAGCTTCTTACCCTTTACCTATTACTATCTCTAATTGTTTTTGTTTCTCTGGATCTCGGTATCTCTATCTCTTTTACTATCTTATATGATTGTCCCTTTTACCTCTTTTATCTCGTTTATCTCTAACTTTAAGTCTCTAACTATCTTTCTCTCTGTCTCCATGTCTTTCTCTCTATCTCAATATATTCATCTATCTATCCAAGGTAATAAGGCAAGGAAAGTTAATTGCTGTTGCGTATCTATCTATCGATCTATCTATCTATATATCTATCTATCTATCTATTTATCTATCTATCTCCCTGGCATGTATGAATATGAAGTGCTATGGAACTGCTGTAGAAGGTATACCTGGATTTAATTAGAATTGATTTAAACCTATTAAATAAAGATGCGGCGTGCAAATTCTAAATTAATCTGCATACACCATTCCAGAACCCACACACAGCCCAGGGATAGGCAGGGTCAGTTGGAGGGGTCAAAAACTACAAATGATATTTTATTCTAAAATTATTAGATACTGGCTTAAGTGCCCGTGGATATTTTTTTTTAAATATTTAAAAAAAAATTTGCTTGTTTGAAAAAAAAATGTCAAATTTTTTTAAATTATATCACTCCCTGGGCACCCATGGGTTCCCTCAACAAATTTCAGCCCATTCGATCCAGCCGTTTGGCCATCTATAGCTAACATATATACAAACAAATATATATTTCGAATTAAAAAAATAGAATTTTGAAGAAAAATAATTTCGATTTTTTAGATTATGTTCTCCACTAGGGTATCCAACTCCTCTTGCTTCACCAAATGATGCGACCTTTAAATTGTTTTTCATAAAAAGATGCACATTGCTGTTAAGATTGCACAGTAAAAAAAAACAAATGTTTTAAGACGGCTGAGCTTTACACATTTTAGTTAACAAGTTTAGCAACGCGTAAAATCCAGGTTTTTGAGTGAGATTGCTGTTAGGCCCATTGAAGTAATAAGGACTTATATTGGAGTTTTGTTTTTTTGTCATGTTATAAAGACATCAATAGTTTCCTCATGAGCAAAAAGCTAATTTATTATATATAATTGACCAAAAGGCTATAAATTAAAACTACTAAAATCCTACAAAAAAGTAAGGAAATTTTAAAAAACAGCTCCAAAATCTCAAAAATTAAGTATGAGAAATTTATTTTTTTAAACAAACGTTTTGCTGTTTTTTAGAATAAATGTTGTTAGTTAAAAAAAATGTGCGTGATTTACAGTTTTAACCATTCCAAGATAAATTGCGTTGTACATTGTCTTGTAAATCTAACTGCGCTAATCCTCAAATACGCAAAACTTGTAATGCCACTAGACTAGCCACGTATTGTGATTAGCTTAACTACGATATATATATCTGCGCATATATTGTGAATACATGTAAGATATTTTGTAAATACACATTAGTCAGCATAGACTCCGCTTTGATTACGGTGATAGGAGTAATTTGGTCCTTGTTAAAACATATGAGCTGAGATTGTGCCCATTGGTTTGGCATTGATCCATTGAGAGCTTGTTTCCGTGTTGGCATTGATAGCTAATTCTAGTTGAAACATATGAACTGAGATTGTGCCCATTGGTTTGGTATTGATCCATTAAGAGCTTGTTTCCGTGTTTACATTGATAGCTAGTCGATCCTTGTTGTAACATATGAGTTGAGATCGTGCCCATTGGTTTAGCATTGATCCATTGAGAGCTTGTTTCCGTGTTGGCATTGCTAGCTAGTCCTCGTTGAAACATATGAGTTGAGATTGTGCCCATTGGTTTGGCATTGATCCAATAATTGAGAGCTTGTGTCCTTGTGGACATTGATAGCTAGTCCTCGTTGTAACATATGAGTTGAGATCGTGCCCATTGGTTTAGCATTGATCGATTAAGAGCTTGTTTCCGTGTTTACATTGATAGCTAGTCCTCGTTGAAACATATGAGCTGAGATCGTGCCCATTGGTTTAGCATTGATCGATTAAGAGCTTGTTTCCGTGTTTACATTGATAGCTAGTCCTCGTTGTAACATATGAGTTGAGATTGTGCCCATTGGTTTGGCATTGATCCATTGAGAGCTTGTGTCCGTGTTGGCATTGATAGCTAATTCTCGTTGAAACATATGAGTCAATATTGTGCTCTTTGGTTTAGCATTGATCCATTGAGAGCTTGTGTCCGTGTTTACATTGATAGCTAGTCCTCGTTGAAGCATATGGGTCAAGATCGTACCCATTTGTTTAGCATTGATCGATTAAGAGCTTGTGTCCGTGTTTACATTGATAGCTTGTCCTCGTTGAAACATATGAACTGAGATTGTGCCCATTGGTTTGGCATTGATCCATTAAGAGCTTGTTTCCGTGTTGGCATTGATAGCTAATTCTCGTTGAAACATATGAACTGAGATTGTGCCCATTGGTTTGGCAATGATCCATTAAGAGCTTGTTTCCGTGTTGGCATTGATAGCTAATTCTCGTTGAAACATATGAGCTGAGATTGTGTCCATTGGTTTGGCATTGATCCATTGAGAGCTTGTTTCCGTGTTGGCATTGATAGCTAATTCTCGTTGAAACATATGAACTGAGATTGTGCCCATTGGTTTGGCATTGATCGATTGAGAGCTTGTGTCTGTGTTTACATTGATAGCTAGTCCTCGTTGAAACATATGAGCTGAGTTTGTGCCTGTATTGATACAGTTCTGGACGAAGTTATGAGAGTACGGCATTTACAACAGGTTTAGGTTGCAAAATTATTGAAATAAACTAAACTTTGCAGAAAAAATATTGATATGTAAAACAGCGCTAATCCCTATTTTTTCACTCTGTATCCGTTTTCAGTTAAAAGAATGAATGATTATTAATACTATGACCTAGACATAAAGCTTAATTTTAATGAAGTATACGTAGGGTGTTTTGGAATGAAGAGCAAAAATACAATAATTTAGATTTTCATATCATTAAAACTGAAATTTGAAAGTTAATTGTGTATTTAATATTTCCGACCTTTAATCGTAGTTTTCATGTGTTTAAAATATAGGATATTTGAAAACAAAAGAACGCATGTAGCTCGTGTATAATAATACATATATACGTATATAAAGAGAATAATTACTAGTTTCCGTTCCAAGGTTTACTCCGGCTCCAGTTGATATCTCCGGGATGAACGTACAACACTACTCCGGGATGAATTTGATACACGTATCCGTCCTACTTCTCTCTCCGTTTCTACTTGAAGCTCTACCCTGGGATAGACCTGCAAGAAACCAGGATTGGAGTTCTCAGGTTAGACTTAGAAAAGATCATTCAGGTTTAAAGTGGGTGAATCTTTTCTTAAAGGGCCCTTCACCGTAACTTTAAGGGGCATTCCATTAAAAAAGATGGGCATGCCAGATTAACAAGAGTACCCTTTAGACCATCTTCCGAACAAAAGCAATGAAAATATCCTTGATTGCTATCTAAAAATCGATACATTCTAATTGTAGTTTATCTTTAAAAGTAACTTGTAGATTTTAAGAAATTGAGACAAAGAACGTTATTTACAGAATTAAAAAATGACGAAACCTTCATCATTATACGTTGCTCAGATAATTTGTACAGGGTACGGTACAGTACAGGGTACAGTACAGTAAGGGTAAAGTACAGGACAGGTTACAGTACAGGATACAGTACAGTACAGGGTACAGTTTAGTACAGGGTACAGTACAGTAAGGGTAAAGTACAGGACAGGTTACAGTACAGGATACAGTACAGTACAGGGTACAGTTTAGTACAGGGTACAGTACAGTTGTGAATCGATTATAATTTAATATTTAAATAGTGCTGGGTCACTGGAAATTACGTTTACAGTTCTTTGAACCCATTTTTGAACATAATTTTCTAGTAAATATGTACACTGTACAGAGATATAGGCTCGATTCACAACCTTTACCTGAGTTACAATGACGAAGATATCGTAGTTTCCTATCTTGAAATGGAATAACAATTAGTTAAATGAATGAGTTTTTACCATTCTAGTTTTGATTTTACAAGACAAGTATATTTCTTCGGTGACATATTAGAAATTCAAAACATTTGTGTTCTTCATAATAGCTCTTCATTTAATGGAGTTATGATTGGAAATATATGAGAATTTAATCTTCCGTGTAATTTACTTTATATTGACGTGTTTTCTTTAAAAATGGAATTTTGAGAAAATATAAACGAAAATCCTGACTAGAAGTACAGATTTTACCTATATATCTCTTCGAATCTGCAGTACACGTTCAAGTAAACAAAAGATATCTTCAAAATAAAATTGCGTTCTGACTATAAGAAATAAGATATTATTCAAAAGCCTCTTAGAATTGCGAATTAAAATTGCAATTCATATTTGCGAATTCAACATGCAAACTGTAACCTTGTCCATATTATATTAATGTCGCTTAATATAAAAATTAAATTGGCCTTGTATACTTTGTATCACAACACGCTTGTATTGTTATTTTTATGAAAAATGTACATTTTAAAAATTACAGATTAAACTTGATTTATGGATTTTTGCTTAACTAGGCTTTCAGGGCGCTTTGCGGATAAAAAATGTCGTGGATTTTCAAAATTTAATAACATCGAATATTGTTGGAGGCTATTTTTTGAAATTTTGATCCTCCATAAACTTTCCCTGGGGTCATGTAAGTTCCACACAAAACTTAGGCTTGATCGGTTCAGCCGTTTCCATGTTTATTGGATACAAACAAACAGACAAGCAAAGTGTATGGATAGATTTATGAAATAAATACATTAAATAAATACTGCAGTGTGAAGACGAACATTATCTATGTAAATTTATTCATTTTAAAGTTATACATATTGTGTATTAATATAAAAAAACTGTGATTCATATATCCTGTTTATAATTTATCTAATAAATGCTAGTTTCAAAATCCCGTGCACCTGTTACATTTAGTTTCATTCAAATTATATAAATTTAGCGTTATTTTTGGGATTAAGTAAAAAAAAAAACTCCTTTATTGAATTTCATGTAGAAAAATTTGTTAAAGATAAATCAAGGATATCTCATTCAATCTAGATCATAATTAAACAAATCTGTTAAGAGTACCATTATGAATCAGACATGCCGTTTTCTATTCTATAAATAGAAAACAACTTGACTTTAAGTCATACAGTAAAGGAATTGAGTATTTTCCTAAAACTCATTTTCAGAATTTAAAAAGAATTCGATTGTGATAACAACAGATTATTTCAATTTCTAAAAAGGAACTGAGTCTTTGCAACAAACTCTGATTACATAATCTCTTTTTAAAAATGTATTTATAACTTATTTTTTAAAATTTTTGTAAAATGGTACGAGGCATAGTTAATAATTTCAAATATTCATCTGCACGTCCGCAGTTTCTCTATTTCTTGCCTCCCTTTGCCCGTCCTCTTATAACGCTGCTTTTAAAAGAATGTTTAGGAGTCGCTGTTTTGCGCTCGTATAAGACTATGCAGGATCCCCCTTTCAATATATAGATGTACCCCACTCCGTTTTGCTTTATTTTAATTGCAGCCTCAGCGCTAAACATTCTGACTGCTTGCATTGGCAAGATCATTACTTCTAGCACTTCAAGTTAGTTTCTATTTCCAGCAAGGGAGCAATAGCTTTTCGATGCTTGTGAGAAGGTTAGATGGTAGGAAGAGGAGAGTTGGAGATGAGGATAAGGGTTTGTAGGAGATGCGTATTAGGAATGTTTCGTTAAAATCACTCCATTTGTCCACATGTTTATACTGTTTCCTTGTACAACGGAATTAGTGTATCGCATTAAGTGTGCAGAATGCGGAGTTGTCCCCTTTTAGCAGCTCTGCTCAGGGAGCAGGGAAATGGTCCTTCCAGAAAGGGCTTCGATCTTTGTTAATACTATTTCTTGACTTAGTACCCCGGCGCACCGTGGCTACTGTAGTTAAGAAGAAGGCTAGCTAATTAAGCACGGTGTACGGGGCCTCATGACCTTCCCTACCTCCATATGTACAGGCACCTTTCTCAGCGTCAACTGCAAATAGTGCATAGAGCTTTCTAGCAGAGCTCTGTTATCCTAGGCTGAAGGAATGCAACTGATTATCTAATCTCTATATCTTTGCAACTCAATGTCCAAGACCTAAGTATTATTTGAATTCTGTGAGATCAAATAATCTAAGTCTGAAATATCAAAGGTTTACAACATCAGACTACAAAGAAATATGAATAAGAAAATTTGAGTCTGTGGCAAAGACTCAAATCCTTTATCGTGTACACACATTGATAACAGAAGAAAATTCAAATTTTAAAAATCATCAAACAACTAAATTTTTTCTAGGTTGAATTTTCGATGGAGATGAATCCCTGTTTGCTTGCTAAAGATATCGGTCCCTGCAGGATGGCCCTTCCGCAATATTTCTTTAACAACAAAACAGCACAATGCGAAATATTTCTTTACGGAGGTAAACAAGGAAACAGTGGCGAAATAAATATTTTTTTTCNTCTAATATAAAACTTATAGATCAACTCTAATATAAAACTTATAGATCAACTCTAATATAAAACTTATAGATCAACTCTAATATAAAACTTATAGATCAACTCTAATATAAAACTTATAGATCAACTCTAATATAAAACTTATAGATCAACTCTAATATAAAACTTATAGATCAACTCTAATATAAAACTTATAGATCAACTCTAATATAAAACTTATAGATCAACTCTAATATAAAACTTATAGATCAACTCTAATATAAAAACTTATAGATCAACTCTAATATAAAAACTTATAGATCAACTCTAATATAAAGACTTAAGACCAAAACTAGTAAAGTCAATTCAATACTTATCCAAACTGTAAAGGATTTCTTAAACTAGAATTGTCTAATCTTTACATCTTTGCAACCTGATGTCGTAATCATTTAATAATTCAGGGGGTACACCTTCAGTTGCAAAAGTATACAGATTAGAAATTAGAGTTTGAGGCGAAGAATCAGTTCTTTTTAATCTCAACTTTAATTAAATGAAACTGCCTCTTTATTTCAAGAGACATTTCAGATTAACAACGGTACCCTTTCATAGTCATCATTCCAGCTTGAACAAAGTTTAATTCTGCCATTTTTCTCCGTTGTTTTAGCAGCATAAATCCGCAAATGAACCACATAAATAGATATTTCTATTATTCTTGATCACTCAAAGGTTTCTAGGGTAGCATTGTGAATATATACTCTTCTATAAATGGAGGGTTACTTTAAAATACGTTTATAATTCCTTTAATCCATTCAAGGTTGTGACGGGAATGAGAATAGATTTAGTGATCTCGAGTCCTGTGAGAATCAATGTATCTCAAATCAGGAACAGGTTTGTCATTTACTAGCACCCATCTTCCATTTCAACTTCTAATTGTTGCTCTATTTGTGAGTATTTTCTGTTCATACATTTTAAAACAATAACAAAAAATTTTGCGGATTTTTTCGTGGATTTTCAAAACTTTACGAAAATCAAAATGTTTTCGAGATACATTTTTCATTATGACCATTTTCACCTTCCCCGGGTTCATGTGAGGTCCCACGCAAAATTTTGGCCCGATCGTTTTGTCATTTATTAGATACAAACAAACTAACAAATAGACAAGAAAATATATATACAGGGTCATGCGACCAAAAACTCTAAGAATAAAACAATCTACTACGATCATATTGCGCTGCAAAATTAACTCCTTCTTTCTTACTTTCTTTCTATTTATAGATATATTAGACTAGCATGATTAGATATATTAGACTAGCATGATTAGAAAAATCCAATACTTTAGAGTTGGGCATCATTAGTATCCGTTTCTTAGATATTCTAGAATTTGTGGTTTCAACATTGCTATCAACTATTTAAGAAGTTTTATGTAGCTTAACTTTTGTTTCCTATAAGTTTTTATTTTTGAAATTATGCAATATTTAGACTCTGACAGGAGATAGAAGACAGAACAAAGCAAAATCAATCTTTCAGTTCTTAATGGCTAAATATTTTGTAAACTTTTATAGAATACAGTTTTGAAATATATTTGAAGTTGTCGATTTTGTTCTCTTGAAAGCCTAAAAATCCTGAATGTTTATAAACGGATGATAACGATACCTAACCCTATTCCTGCCCCATAGGGACTCTAATCCTACCCTATACAGACCTTATAGGGACCCTATACGGACCCTAGATGGACCCTATACGGATCCTATATGGACCCTATACAGACCGTATATGGACCCCATACAAACCCTATTCGGGCCCTATTTCTACCCTATTTTGACCCTATTTCTACACTATATGGACCCTATTCCGACCCTATACAGACCGTGTATGGACCCTATACAGACCCTATACAGACCCTATGCAGACCCTATACGGACCCTATTCCTACCATATCCGGTTCCTATACAGACCCTATAAGACCCTATACGGACCCTATTCCTACCCTATACGGACCCTATACAGACCCTATACGGACCCTATTCCTACCCTATACGGACCCTATACTCAATTCTTAAAAACTGATTTCAGAGAAATCTTGATGTTGACTTAAACACAGAAGAAGGCTATACTGAAGTGAACACATTTATTGAAGATATTGATACTGAAGAAACTGAAGATATTGATACCCTTGTGGAAAACACATTTGAAGAAAAGAACGCTGCTGCACTTGACCAAGCTGGAAGTGGTGTTGCTAATGATGCAACTGAGCTTGATACAGAGGAAGATCTCTCTGCTACATTTGAAGAAGCTGCAAGTAGTGTAGCTAATAATGCAACAATTCTTGATACAGATGATGAGGATAATGATGAGTTTGATGAACTGCCAGAACTAGAACTTGATGTTTGCAACCAGACAAGATCAGTTGGAAACTGTAGGTAAATATCATTGTTTAAAATATATATATAATAGTAGTCACAAAAATAAGATTGAATAAACAAAACGTTTAATGGTAAGAGAAAGAAAAAACTGTATGCACATTATCAATTATTTTGGAAGAAATACGCGAAAATATGTTCAATATTTATATTCATATTTACATGTACATATAGTAAATAAGATACCAAACATGCTTCGATCCGCAGGTTAATTATCATTTATCATATTTAAAAACCAAGCTTTTCTGCTTTAATAATTTATTTGATTTGAGTCTGCCACAAATTCTGATTTTCTTATTCATATATCCTTGCAACCCAATATCGAAGACCTTAGATATTTTAAACTATGAATTCTGTTAGATCAAATAATCCAAGTTTCAAATAGAAAAAGGCTTACGCCATCAGGTTGCAAAGATATAGAGATTTAAAAAATTGATTTTGAGCAAGGACTTAATTCCTTCCACTGTGAATTGTAGATATGATATATTTCAGAGCTAGCATATCTCGCTGGTACTTTGATCCTCAGTCAAGTCTATGCACTGAGTTCCTATATGGAGGTTGTGGAGGAAATCAAAACAATTTTGAATCCTTGGAAGAATGCAATTTCAGGTTAAAAAATTCCATTTTGGTGATTTAAAAAAATAAATTGAGTATTTGCTTCAAACTCTGATTTTCTAATTCCTATATCTTTGGATACCAATGTCGTAGATCTGGCTGAAATTATTTCTTTATTAAGATGTGGAAATTCGTTTGGTCTTGAGTTGATTACTGCAGGGGGTATACAGAACAAACAGAGTGATTTAAATGAGATGAGTTCTACTAAAGATGTACTTCCAAAACAGGTAATGCAGTTTCAATATCAACAAAATGACAAACATGAAGCTAATGGAGCTCAGTTTTTATATTCAAACTCAATATATTTTTTTGAGCAATTCACTTTTTTATGATTTTATATTTGTAAACCTTTGATGGAACGCAATCAGGCTTTTAGTAAAGTTAAATTAACAGGCATTTTTATTTCATGTGAATTTTTTTAACCTATGACTTTTGTGAACAAGTTTTTAATTGCAAAAAAAACTTTTTTAATGGAAAGTATGATATTTCTATTTTAATGATTAGCCTACAAATAGTTGTTTACGTATAATCTGTTTTTTAGTAAATATATTGTGCAATGTCTATTTCATAATTAATCTATGAAATTTAGAATCTAAAACTTTGTTATAGATAATCTTATGTTTTAAGAAAAATCAGTTTTTTAATTCATTGATAATTTAAGGAGATATTTGTTCAATAAAGAATCTATAATTTAGGAAAAACCTGTTTGACTTTGATATAAGTAATTTTTAACTTTCATTAAATTAATGTCTGTTTAAAAATGTATGATTTTAGGAATCTAAATCTGCAATTGGGACCGTGGTTTCTCTAGATCAGGAAATCCTTTATAAAAAGAAAAAAAATTTTAAAAATATATATTTAATTTTACCACAAATATTTGATGATTATTTACGTTATTCTTTACGAAAGGATTGCTTAGAACATAAATTCAAATTTGGATTTTGAAGATAATTCTCTTCATAACTGGAGCATTCAAAACTTCGCTGTTTCAAATATTTCAGGTGAAAAAGGGACCATTCGTGATTAATAAAAAGTGGTACAGGATGAAATTAATTTACTAATTTATTTATTAAGATTGACGATCTAGAATTTATGTCGTAAATTAAGATTCCAACAAATAATTTGATTTAAAAGAGAATGATGCCCGAACACCTAATTACCCGAATCTCTATAACTATTCAAGCTTTATTCAGCAGTATTTCAACTTATATTCAATGTAAACTCTATTCTGAAGAAGTTATTGACGAAAAGATTACTCGTACGATTTTAATGTGGATTATATATGTATTGAAAAAATTCGACGTTTATTTTTAGCATTAGTCTTCCCTATTTTACTATTTTTCTAATGGCAGTGTTAATGAGAGTGGTTATGATAGCTAATTACTGCTGATGTCGATAGCAGATAAAGACATTGTGTGAGCAACTCAAAACCATCTTTATTCCACTCTTGATCTAACCTAAGCCTCTTCTTCTTATAATCTTTGCAGTTAAATGCTCTACCCTATTTTTCTCCTTTTTATGTCATAGCTCCTATCCTTCCCCTTCTAATAACCTTGCTCTTACCGATCCTTCTACTTCTTATATCCTAGCTTTACCCTATCCTTCTCCTTCTTATAACCTTGCTCTACCCTATCCTTCTCCTTCTTATAACCTTGCTCTACCCTATCCTTCTCCTTCTTATAACCTTAGCTTTACCCTATCCTTCTCCTTCTTATAACCTTGCTCTACCCTATCCTTCTCCTTCTTATAACCTTGCTCTACCCTATCCTTCTCCTTCTTATAACCTTGCTCTACCCTATCCTTCTCCTTCTTATAACCTTGCTCTATCCTATCTCTCTTCTTCTTATATCCTTGCTCTATCCTATCTTTCTCCTTCTTATATCATTGCTCTATCCTATCCTTCTCCTTCTTATATCGTTGCTCTAATCTATCCTTCTTCTTCTTATATCCTTGCTCTATCCTATTCTTCTTCTTCTTATATCCTTGCTCTACCCTATCCTTCTCCTTCTTATATCCTTGCTCTATCCTAACCTTCACCTTCTTGTATCCTTGCTCTATCCTATCCGTCTCCTTCTTATATCTTTTCTCTATCCTATCCTTCGTCTTCTTGTATTCTAGCTCTATCTTATCCTTCTCCTTCTTATATTCATGCTCTAGCCAATCCTTCTCCTACTTATAATCCTTGCTCTAACTCATCCTTCTCCTTCTTATATCCATGCTCTGACCTATTCTTCTCCAATTCTTATATCCTTGCTCGATATCCTATCCTTCTCCTTCTTATAATCCAATTGGTCTATCCTATCCTTGCCTTCATATACCTAAATCATATTATTTGTTGAAATCAATCAATCAATAATACTTGTATGCCTATTTGTGAACAATGTTACAAGTGTGAATCAGACTACCCTTCTTTAATTTAATTACTATTTTGGGAAATATTATTATTTAGTATTTTTGCGAGTAAGTGATCTAAATCCTCCTGAAGTCAGAAGGGAAAAAAGAAAAACTTTTTAATTTAGAAATTGGCGGAGTAAGCAATCCAGGCCAGAACGGACAAAGAATTGGGATATTGCAGGATCAGGTTCAGTAGTGTTTTGGGAAAAAGAACAGAGCACAAACTCAACTTTTCGAATCCTTCTCTTAGATACTTTTTAAACTTTTAATATTAGATCTTGTAGAAATCATATTCTAATCTACGCCAACAGGTTGCGAAGATATAAGGATTGGGAAGTAAGAGTTTGTGTTCAGTTCCTTTGTTAAAAATACGTAGAATTATTTTGTTCGAGAGGGGATAAATTAATTTGAATAAAAGATATAAAAAATACTTCACGTTTTCCATCTAGAAGTGATTATTTTAGACGTATGTATCTATTTAAGTTCTTCTTTAAAACTCAAATTGTTAAAATGCCAAAAGGAATTGAGTCTTTTTGGAACAAAATCAAATATTTAAACCTCAATATCTTTAGAACCCGATGTTGTAAACCTTTGACATTTCAAACTCAGATTATTTGATCTAACATAATTCATAGTTTGAAATGTCTAAGGTATGCAACATTTGGTTCCAAATATATAGTGATTAGAAAATCAGAGTTTGTGGCAAAGACTCAATTCCTTTGCATAGAATCACCTTTTTTTAAAGAATGAGTTCCATGTTCTTTTGCTTCATTCAAATATTAGTAAATGAATTTTGTTTTCTGACCTTTTCCTCAAATGCCAAATTCATTTTTCCTATGCAAAACAAGTTTTGTTGGCATTAAAACATTAATTGCATAAAAAGAGCTTGAAAAGCTAAAACAAAAAAATCTGAAATCGAAAAAAATGTTTTTTGTTTATCTTTAAATGCTGCACGCCGCCAACAGCCTCGTTTCAAGCACTCACCTCAAACTCTAATTTACTAATCCCCACGTACTGGTACATCTTTGCAACTTGTGGATGTATACCTTGGCATTTTTAATTGTTAATAATTATATTATGCAGAATTTTTTATAAATTTTTTTATATGCAACATAAGGTTACAAAGATATCAAGATTAGAACATTAGAATTTGAGGCAAGTAATTAGTTGCTTTGTTAGGGACTAGCTTGGGGACCCAGCTTTGCATGGGAACTAAAATATTCTATAAAGATGTGAATTCCCACAAATTTAGAATTTCTAAACCAAGCTAAGACCATGCCCGTGGTCCTACCGAGTTCCCCAATCAAAATTTAAGGCAAATTGGTTATTGAGTTATGATCGGACATCCAAACAGAGATTACTATTTAAATTATATAGATGCTCACAAAGTGTAAATGTTCAGGAAGGGATTGAGTCTTGGCCACAAACTCTGATTGTTTAATCCCTATATCCTTGTGACCCAATATTGTAGACATTGGATATTTTAAGCTATGATTTATTTAAGATTAAATAATCTAAGTTTGAAATTTCAAATGTGTAAGCCATCAAATTGCAAAGATATTAATATTTGAACATTTGAGTTTGAGGCAAAGATTCAATTCCTTTGTCAAACATCTGGTTTTGTTTAAGGCTGGGTTCCTGAGTAGAAAAGTTGATATTGCCGAGAACAGTCAATTAGAGATAGAGTTCTCAATTGCAATCAGCATGAGTAAGTATTATTATAGAAATATAAATTATTAAAAAAAATTAAAGATTTTTACAATATTTAGTTGAATTTTACTGTTTTTATTCAAAAGTAAAGATAAACTTTTGGGTATAGCTTGGTAACCTAGCATTGCCCAGTTGACTCATATAGTTACTCCCGCCGTTTACCCGTACTTGGTCGATTTTCCCGGGAAACTAAATTTTTTCTATTAAAATCGATTCACTGAAAAAACGAAAAAAAATCAGATTTTTGTTTAGACGACACAAACTCTAATATTGAGCTGACCCTTCTCCTGCAGCCGGAGAATACTGATGGTCTGGAGGTGTTCCGCCTGGACCCGGCCATGAACCTCGGCACCTGGAAGCGGTATAGGTTCACCATGAAGACAGTCTCCATGATACCGAACCTGTTGGTCGTCTTTGCAGCAAACTCACAGGGGCAAAACTTCCTCGCCATTGATAATGTTTTTCTAAGGTAAGTGTGTCTTCATTTCTTATTGTTTTTCATGTTTTTGTTTTTGTTTCATCTATATTATATATATATATATATAATTTGCTTGTCTGTCTGTTTGTTAGTTTGTTTGTGTCCAATAAACGTCAAAGTGGCTGAATCTACCTGGCCCAAATTTTGTGTAGGTTTATAGATGATCAAAATGATGTAGGGAAGGTTTATAAATGATCAAAATTTCAAAAATTTGCCTCCAACAAAATTGGATTTTGATTAAATTTTGAAAATCCAGGATATTTTTTAACAAGATCCGCTAACTTTTTTGTTTTTGTTTTACAATGTATACAAATAGAAAATGTTCACAATTGAAATAGGAGATGTGCGCGAAGCGCTCTAAAAAGTTTTTTATATTCTTGATATTTATTTTTTTGATGTAGTGTTTGTTTTTTAAATTTTAATGATCTTTTTTTGTCCTGTTCTTGTTTTTTTTCTGGTTCTTGTTATTGGTTTTACTTTGTTCTGTTCTTGTTCTTGCTCCTATTCTTGTTCTTGTTGTTTTCTGATTTATTGTTCTTGTTGTTTTCTGGTTTATTGTTCTTGTTATTACTATTTTACATAATCTTATTTATGTTAATTTTTTGATCTGATTCTGATTTTATTAATGATCCTTATATAATCTTAGTTGGCGGGAGATAGTTAGCACAAGGGAAGTTGGAGAAGCTAAACCCGGAACCGGAGAAATATCTGAGACTTCTCCTTCTCCAGGTGTAGAGAACACAACAGATCAAAACAAAGGTCAAGAAACAACAATAGCAGATGAAGAAACAACTACGATCATCGACGAAGAAACAACAATAGCTGACGACGATATAACAACAATTATTGACGAAGAAACAACAACAATAGTAGACGAAGAGATAACAATAATAACAGATGAAGATATAACAACAGTTATCGATGAAGAAGTAACAACAGCCAATTCAACAACAGTTAATGCTGAACAAACCAATTCAACAACAGTTAATGCCGAGCAAACCAATTCAACAACAGTTAATGCCGAACAAACCAACTCAACAACAGTTAATGCCGAACAAACCAACTCAACAACAGTTAATGCCGAACAAACCAACTCAACAACAGAACCAACTCAACAACAGTTAATGCCGAACAAACCAACTCAACAACAGTTAATACCGAACAAACCAACTCAACAACAGTTAATGCCGAACAAACCATTTCAACAACAGCTAACGCCGAAGAAACAACAACAGTTAAGGTTGATTCCACCAGTTTACCTGGCCCCCTTTCGACCATGTCCAATTCTTCGTCCCAAAATTTAGCTGCTACAAATAATTCGTCAGAGCCATCTTTTACAGAGGAATCAACAGCTGCTTCTTCAATAAACTCGTCTTCAATAGCTTCCGAAGAAACCACAGTCTCATCATTAACCACAGAATTATTATCATTTTCTTCATCTTCATCATCATCTTCTTCTTCAACAACCGTTTTATCATCATCTTCTCCTTCTTCTTCCTCTTCAACAACCGTTTCATCTTCATCTTTTCCTTCTTCTTCTTTTTCCACTGATTCATTCTCATCTTCCACAAGTCCCCTCACCTCTATTGGTCAAAATAAAAACGAGACTAAAACACCTGAGGATCTTGATATATCTGTTGATATATCAAAGATGAACGAGTTTAAGAACGGCACAATGTTGATTCATAATTATTTTCATATCACTGGGAGTAGTAACTTCTCTATTGATATTCATGTTCCGTAATTCGCGGATTCCAGAATTAAAATATTTTTGAGTATTTAGTGTACGTATTATTCAATGGGGTGAAATAAATATCTATCTATCTATTATTTATCTAATGCACAGTCTAAATTTCTTCCTAACGGGGCTGTAGACGCTATTTTTTAAATGCATCTTTATAAAGAGGGTTCTCTACTAACGTGACTAGCGGATATCTGCTGCAGGTGCAGAAAACAGAAATTGTTAGGATTAAACAGTTTTCAATATCAAGTATTCAGGAGACAAAGTTTCAAAACTAACACTTGTATATATCTTTAAATCCAAGTAGAGTAGAACAAAATTACACCATATATTTATAAAAAATGGCTAAAACTATATATTGAAACAATAAATGTCCATTTTAACTAATAATAAGGTGTGAGAATTAGTTTTTGGTGATTCTTGATTTCATTTTTGAAAATATCCCTATTTTGAAACAATTACCGGATTTCAGCTCATGTCGCGTTTTCGGAACATATCCAGGTTTTGAGACAATTACCGGATTTCAGCTCATGTCGCATTTATTATCGACTTTTACTCTGGATTTGGGCCGGGATCCAAAAAACCCAGTCTTTCAATTTGTGCCCATTTCTAACACTCAGCTTTAGAAATGGGCCAAGTGTTAGTTTCATGGAACGTTATGTTAAACGTTAAACGTTATTAAGTGTTTATACTAACTTGCATAAACACCTTCTTGTCATAAAAAGAAAAGACGTTTATCATAAATGATTAATAAAAATAGATGGTTTTGTTATAGTGCACTCTTTAATGGAGGGTCACCTAAAATTACGTTTTGTTTCTATGTTTATTGGAACACCCCCTGTTGTACAATTGTAGGGTAATAAATGATTATTTCTGTGACTCTATGTTCCCTATTTGCATATTTGAATCGAATTTACATACAAATTTATTCTAATTGGTCTATTTTACCTCGAACAAAAACTTAAAGAAGAACGGACTTCATCCCCTGCAAGAAGATTTGGAGAAACATTTAATTGTGTTTCATGATACAGGGTAATAAAGAGATACATTCTTAACTCCTCACAACCCAGAGTTAAAAACATATTGTTTAAAGGAAGCATGAGCAATGGCTTCCAAAGAAATCCAGATTTTTTTGGGAAAACGTTTATTTAACGGTTGTTACTCCGGGTTTTAACAGGGGGGGGGGGGGTATCTTTTTAAAGGGAAAGTAAGCGTAATTTCAAGTGACCCTCCATGCAATGGCTGATTCACAACTGTACCCTTGAAACCTTTATCTTATCAAAAATGAAAGACATTGTCGTTTTCCTGCAGTAGAAATGCGCAAGTCACATTGATTTCTAATTGATACTTGATCAGAGAAAGGTTTTAAGGGTACCGTTGTGAATCGGGCGTTGTTATCTTTGTAAAAGTTTACTTGAAGTTACGCTAGCACTCTCTTGAAAACAATTTGTAGACTATTGTAAAACGTTTATAAGAACAGGGATAAATTGATTCGATTATGAAATGCTGACCACTTTTAAATTTTTGATTTTACCCCTTTCCACTTTATGTGATCTTGATATTTTAGAAACACTGATGATTTATCTTTCTTTTATCATACGTACACAATATGCATGCATTACATGCATCAAAGAAGCCCGAAAATGTTGAAAGCCATGTATTAAAAAATATAGAAAAACAGCCACAAAAAGTAAAAAAAAGTTTTAGATTATTATGCATTTGTTGCAGATTTTCCTAATTCTGTTTCGCAGATTATTTTACTGTCAGAAGGGACTAGATGTCTCAAGATTAAATACTTTTACAATTTAATTAACTTTGACGTTAATATTCCCCACCAAACAGCACATAGTTAAAAGGGGTTGGGGGAGGGGGATATCGTGGTAAGACGGATTGGGGGATTTGTCGGTTGAAGAGGGGGGGGGGATCTTGATAAGGGGATGAACGTAAAGAACTATTTCCTGTACTTCCCGGTGTATTGAGCAATATGAATAAAATTTAATTAAATATGCAAACAAGTTAATTTCGAGAAATTTTTATCGATTTTCTGTGGATTGTTCAGCTCAGATGTTCTACTAGATATTTAGTTCTTCTAGTTCTTCAAGTTCTCCTAGTTTTTCTAGTTCTCCCTGTTTTCCTGGTTCTCTTAGTTCTTCTAGTTCTCCAAGTTCTCCTAGTTCTCCTAGTTCTTCTAGTTCGCCTAGCTCTCCTAATTCTCCTAGCTCTCCAAGTTCTCCTAGTTCTCTTAGTTCTCCTTGTTCTCCTAGCTCTCCTAGTTCTCCTAGTTCTCCTAGTTCTCATAGCTCTCATAGTTCTCCTAGCTCTCCAAGTTCTCCTAGCTCTCCTAGTTCTCATAGTTCTCATGGTTCTCCTAGCTCTTCTAGTTTTCCTAGTTCTCTTAGTTCTCTTAGATCTTCTTGTTCTCCGAGTTCTCATAGTTCTCCTAGTTCTCCTAATTCTCCTTGTTCTTCTAGTTCTCCTAGTTCTCCTAGTTCTCCTTGTTCTCCTAGTTCTCCTAGTCCTCAAGTTCTCCAAGTCCTTCTTTGACTACATATTCTACGTTATTAATGGTTCTGTCTCTGAACACAATTAAGGATCATTTCAACCCATCCTGGACTCAAGCCTACTCAGCATAATTAATCTATTAAATTTTAAACAAAACAAGCGTCTAGAATAAACTGTCGGATCTTCAAGCTGTTATATTTAATTCCCTCTTTTAAGTTTTGAACTGTCCCTGTTTTTCAGGTTCTTAATGCACACAAGGCGAACAGTTTACCGTTTTCAAAGTGCTTAGAAAAAGTCTTAAAGTTGAGAAAAATATGAGGTTTAAATACAACAGTTGAATTCCCACAAATGTCGATCATAAAATCTTTTTCAATTCTTCTTTTATTCTTTCTTTTGCTTCTTTCTTATCCGGTAATTGCTGGTGCTAAATTCTGGTTTCTGCAGGGGCACAAACAAAATAATAAGGGGGGGGCGTAATATTATAATTTTCTCCTTTCTTATTTATTGGAATGAGAATAAAAACAATCCTGATTTTGACAAATTAGAGAGGGTTGGTAGAGAGGGGAGGAGTGTCGATGGTGCGCCCCTTGAAAGTTTTATTGCTGGTGGTCGGTTAAAAGAATGATATAATTGTGAGGTTTGGTTTAAACTGTCGGAGCTGAGCTGAAGACCAATTATACTGTGAAGATACTGGATAAAGAGAGGATCAGTACCGTGGAACAGATTCGGATAAATATGTCAAGTGAGAATCAATCTTAAAGGGACTGTAAGCGTAATTTTAAGTGAACCTCTTGCAAGATGGCACTGTCCGATTTACAACGGTACCTTTAGAACCTTAATCTGAAGATAGCGTCGTTTTTTTTTACTTGAAAAGTGTTTATTTGAAAAAAGTCGTTTTTGCAGAGACCCCGCAAATGAAAATAAGCAGTTATAATATGCAAAACATGGATATCTTGTTAATAATGATCAGAAAAAGCTTTTAATGGTGCCGTTGTAAATCGGGCATTGACATCTTTTTATGAATGGTTACTTAAATTACGCTTACAGTCTCCTGAAGCAAAAACTAAAAATTATCCTCAAACACTTTTTTGATAATAATTTGAATTATTGATTTCTTTTCAAGAGGCCGAAGGAAATACCAGAGTATAAAGAGACTGTAACCCTCAATGCAAAGATGGCAATACCGGATTTACAACCCTTTAAAGCTAGCTTTGTCTGATCAAGTATGAATTATAGATATTCATGTTTTTGTTTCTTTAAACTGTTTATTTTCATTTGCGGTTTCTCTGCAAAAGTGACTTGCACAATTCTTGCTTATAAAAAGCAATGGAGAAATTATCTGAATCACTTTTCAAGTCAGGAAAACGACGATGTCTTCCACATTTTTGATAGTTTCAAGTTTACCGTTGTGAATCGGGCATTGCCAACTTTGCATGTAGGGTCCCTTGAAATTATGTTCACACTTTACAGTCCCTTTAAATGGTATAAAAACCAGATCTATTATATGTTTATGTTTATATATTTGCCTACAGCAGCGAATTAATAAGAGTTAAACTACTTTATATAATATAAAAATTAATAACCCCAAATTGCTCATTTGGCTGAGGAAAAATATATGATACTCGTAATAAATCCATTGAAACAACTGAGGAATTCAGCTCCGGGCAATGCAACACAAAATGCGCCAAAATATTTTATGCCAGGAATGTACGACAGGAGAGGAAGTGGGGTGGCCTAGAGGGAGGGATAGATGAAGGGGGGGGGAGGAAAAAAGAATTCCAGGTTTTGTTGAATTTGATGCATGATTTATACAAGAAAACGGACAGGTCGTGAGGTTTAAATTAATTAGAAGAAAAAAGAATTTTTTCTGACTGAGCAAAGACTGCTGAATTTTGAACACAGAATGATATAAACTTGATCTTAGGACACCAGGAAATCTAAAGCACAAGACATACTTGACTATTGAACACCAGAAATACTGGACAAACCAGAAAGGGACACGGGACACATAGTATCCCCTATTTCCAACTAATATGTAATATGTGGTTCACAGAGTCCCTT